AAAAAAAAATTAAAAAATAAATAAATAAATAAATAAATAAATAAAAACTTCCCATTTTCTCATGACTTTTTTAATGGAGCCACCAGCATATTGAAAATTACATATGTTGCTCACATTTCTACTGGACAGCACTGCCCTAGAAGTTTATGAGGAAATAGGGAAAATTACTGGGAGCGGTAACAGCAGTTGGAAAAAGCATTGCAAATAGGACCTTTGCAAGTGAGACTGATTCCAACAAAAATAGGTAACCGTTTTAACTTGCTATTTCCTGCTGAAGAAGTGCGCTTCACTAATATGTGTTGCCTGTCTTTCCCCTCTAATTTAGTGTTTAGTGTGTGTTTCCTATAGCAGGCTTAATAATGGGATTCACTAAGCAGCATTAGGAAGACTTAGGGAGATGATTCACGAATGACGACCTCTTGTGATTTTCAAAGTACTGTCTCAGTCCATTTTTCATTGGTATGGAGTCAAAGATAGATGGCTTATCAGTAGTCCTCTCACCTCAATCTAAGTGAGTTTCCCCCTAAATCTCAAATATCTCATTAGAGGCTATTTGCCAGGTTCATGGAAGGGACTGCATAGGACATGTGCTACTTCATTTCCAAGTTGTTGGAGTCACTATCATTTTTTATTAATTTGATATGGTCTCATTAAAAGGCCAAACAAAGGTTTGGTTCATTTAGCTGTGCATGTCCTCAGAGGATTGCTCAAAGTGATTGATGTATCTTGAAACAACATATGTATTCTATGTATATTTTATATAGTATATTTATGTTATATATATATAATATATATTTATATTAATATATTTATATATGATTTTTGTTTCAAATTAGGCATCCACTGCAGATTTGCATTTAAAAAAACCCAAATAGTTCCAAGTTATTTTGGTAAAATAGATGTTTTGAGTTGGCAGCATCTAAATAAAAAGCCTTTATTTCACAATTGAGAATATAAAATTGCAAAGTACCATTCACAGGAATTATTTGTTTGCTTCTTGGCCTGTAGGGATGGCCAGCTTGTTTTTCAGAGATGTTCTTGCTGTTTACATCCCACCTATTTTGCTTTCTTATGGACCAAAGCAGCTTTGAGACAAAAGTATTTGAGGACATTTTTGTCATTTAGGACATTTTGATGGTGAACATTATGTATCTCTGTCAACTTAAATTTTTTTTTTTTTGTAATCGATCCAGGGTATCTAATGTCAGATAACATGCCTTTTGTCTCTTTAGAATTTCTTTTATCACATTTGAATAAATCACTTAGAGGTAAACTAGAAGTTGTGAAATGCTTGTAATAGCTATGTATCTTAACATTACACGAGCAGTATGTGTGATCTTTCTTACCTGCTATACTCTACATGCAGTTACTACAGGTAAAGAAAGGACATTTAATTGTCAGGAGTCCCGAGAGGGGACTGTAGTAGTAATCTGGGGAGTCTATTGGATTTTTGAGGGCTTCTGACATTCTGGGATGGAGAGAACGGGACAGGGACCTCTCACTAGGTTGGAGCCAGCCTGCATGTATATCTGTATCTTGGAAGTAAACCTAGAATGTGGCCTGACTACCCCGGCTCAGGTGAGCCAAGGTCCAAGGTGAGAGAGATGCAGGCATTGATGGGGTGCTAACTGCTTTAGCCGGCTGGATGTGAAGGTCATGCATCTTTTCTGAATACTTGTAAATCAGTTAAATCAGTCTCAACTCCTGGGTGCCTGCCAGCCTAATGCTATAGATCAGATGGTTTAAATATCAGTCTTTGAAGTAGTTTATGCCCGTTTTTGGAATCAAGATTTAATACAGACTTGGATATGGAATATTCAACTGGTCTGCTTTTCTCTCCGTAGAGAGCCCCTAGCTCCATTGCACCATGTGTGGGATTTGGGCCCTCTTTGGCAGTGATGACTGCCTTTCTGTTCAGTGTCTGAGTGCTATGAAGATTGCACACAGGGGTCCAGATGCATTTCGCTTTGAGAATGTCAATGGATACACCAACTGCTGCTTTGGATTTCATCGGTTGGCAGTGGTTGACCAGCTATTTGGAATGCAGCCAATCCGAGTGAAGAAATATCCTTATTTGTGGCTTTGTTACAACGGTGAAATCTACAACCACAAGAAGGTAAATAAACCAGAAGATATCTGGATGTGATTAAACCTCAGGGCTAGTTGGTTGTAATAATTTTATATATTTTGTATAAAGCTTTTTACTTTTCACACAGTTTCCATGTTCATTACCTCATTTGCTCCAATTCTAAAGAGAGATAGGGCACAGATGCACAAGGAGTTCAAATGGCCTGGTCACAAAAAAAAGACAAAATGAAGATTATAATTCTTTAACTCTTAGAATTTTTTTTTCCTGTCATGAATTTGAATATTAATTAGAGCCTGTGTTTGGTACTGGGGATACAGTAGTAAGTATGAGACATAGGTCTGCACTCTGATGGAGTTTATTCCATTAAAAATAAAAAAAGACAAAAAATCCTTGTACATACGATAGATATTCTGGACAAAAAAAATAATAATAATATGGGAGATCCAGTGTCAGCAAGGGTGGTCAGAGAAGGCCTCTTGAGGAACTGGCACTTGAACTGAGACCTAATGGATAATGATCAACTAGTGGGGCTGGGAACAGCATTTCATGCTGGGGGAATAGCATGTGTAGAAGCCCCGAGGTAGGAAGCAGCCCTGGGATTGTCAGATGTGATCAAGGGGTAGGTAGGTGGGCAGGGCACGACCAGATCAAGCAGGACTTGGCAAGGAGTTGGAATATCATTCTAAGAGTAGGGAGACTGGAGGACTTTAGGGCAGGTATGGAATTTAATAGTTTGGAGGTAATCATACTGGTAGCTTTTATATAATGCTGCCCTTATGACATTTATTGCTACTGTGTACTGACTGCACTTAAACAGAGCCACAGGACAGAAGAGTGAAAGGAGTGATTTTTTTAGCAGCATTAAAATTGGAACAGCTTTCTAATCTGGTGAAAGCTTACTCAGGATGAGAGTGGTGAGGGGGTGGAAATTCTGACCCCAGGGAGCCAAACTGGCTAAGAACCTTCCAATCTGGAATTATTTGGCTAGTGTTTCATAAATTTTTTAATGCAAAATTTCCAAGTTATTTTTTGTTTGCCACCCTCCTCCCCAACTTGTAATTTTGAAAATTTAAAACATATAAAAAAGAACAAAAAAGAAGAACAAACCAAAAAAAAAAAAAAATAGAACAAACAGAACCTAGGTTATTTAATTGTTAATGTTTTGCCGTATGTGCTCTATTTCTCTCTTTCTGTATATACACCTAGGCATTTAATTTTGGGCTGAATCATTTTAGAGTATACTGCAGATATCGTGACACTTCTAAATATGCAAGCACTTATCTCTTAAAAATTAGGGCCTTCCTCTACCTAATACCAATACCATTAAACCCAAGAATCAATAAGATCATCTAATATTGAGTTCAAATTAAATTTCTGCAAGTGTCACAAAAATGTCTTTATAGCTGCTTTGTTTTGGTGAAGCCTGATAGCATTCATACTTCATACATTTAGTTGTTAGGTTCCTTGGTATTTTTTGAGTCTTGATATACATCTGTCATTCATGGGGAGGTATTTATATTCTAGCCACCATTAGGACATTTTTATCTCTGGACAATAGCTTTTACCATTGTGTGTCATCTCCTCATAAGATTACTTTTAATAATAGGCTTCTCATTTGAAAAGTTTTTATGGTTATTCAGCAGACTCCTTTCAGACATTTATTAAGAGTATATAGGCATGATTTTTCTAGGTGCTTGGAGATGAAATGGTGAACACGAAAAGTAAGAATGGAATTTCAAGCTAGTGAGAGTACAGGAGGTAAGACTTCTTTCTTACCAAGCCAAGTTAGTGCCATACACACGAGAATGCTAGGTTGTATTATGGCAATATTAACCTTTCACCTTAAATCAGATAGGAAATACCTTGTGTAACTTGAACAACATTGCTGCTTTTATATATTTTGTTGAAAAGTTACAAAATAGTAAATATTTCACAAGTATTTTTATTCTAAATTACCAAATATATTGTATTTTCAAAAGCATAGAAATTCCATTGCATCTACCAATCATCTAAGCTTCTGTTGCGTGAACGGCCAGAAATCTGTTGATGAGGAGGATGGCCATTTTACATCTGTATAAAGGACACTACAACATAAGCTCCAAAGCCCCTCCTTTTTTTTTTTTTTTTTTGGATGAAAAAAAATTTACCTCTAATAAAATCCAGCTAGAGATGTGCGGGGTGTGGAGGAAGAATAAATGAAGGAGAGGAGGAATCTGAGTAAAGGCTGGGGCAGAGAGGAGGCTCTCTCTCTACAGGGATCATCAGGGGCTTGCAACCAGCAGGTCAAGTGGCAGTGTGATTTCTGGATGGTGGCAGGATACAGGGACTTTTATCTAAGTACAGCTTTTTTTTTTTTAAGTTTATTTATTTTGAGAGGGGAGGGAGGGGTAGAGAGAGAGAGAGAGAGAGAGAGAGAGAGAATTCCAAGCAGGCTCTGCAGTGTCAGTGCAGAGACCAATGTGGGGCTCGAACTCACAAACTCTGAGATCATGACTTGAGCTGAAATCAAAAGTTGGACACTTAACTGACTGAACCACCCAGATGCCCTCTAAGTGCAGCTTTTACCTAAGTGTGGTTTCAGGAGAGTGCAAAGTGGAACTTGGGAATCATTAACCAGTAAGTTACCTGCAAGGTTTAGCCAAAGAGCAGTGATGACACTAGTGGAGGATAGATTTGGGAAGCTGTTGCTTACTGAAATCACTGAATGCTTTGGAGGGTATATTTATTCTTCCGATACATAAGTGCAAAAAGGCAAGCAAAAGACTGCTTCCAAACCCCACCTGCTAGTGACAGGATCTCCCCTGATCTCTCTCAGAGGAGGGAGAGGTCAACAGGAAGTGGCTTTATAGTCACTCAAGGCAGCCAGAGCCCATGGTTTGGGTCATTCAGTGAGTGCTTATAGGCAGAAGTTTCACAAGTGATAGAGCGAGTGTGATTGTGAAGCATGTTTATAGGTCATCCATATACAGACATATAGATTTACTTTGTGAATTTTAAAAACATGTTCTGAATGTTTAAACTTAACCAGGATTTCCCTGTGATTTTGTTTATAGGAACCTTTTCTCTCTCCATGGTCAGCCAAAAATAGGAGTAAGCACAAAGAAAGAGCAACTCCAAGGATTTCTCCCCCTCACAGTTGGCCAGTGGTGATGGAGAGCCAGAGCCCGGTGTAATGTAATCAGGCCCTCTCCCTCTGTGCTGAGTGGTCATGATGGTCACTTTGCTGAGCCCTTGGGGCATGTGGACTACTAAAGCTCCCCTGTCATTTTCTCTATCAGTGAGAAGTAGTTTAATGCCACTGCAATGGTGGGAAGACTGAATAGTCTAGGCTTCCCCCGGGGGCCATCAGCTTTATCTGGACCATGTGTCTTCATCATTGTGATGGAGCCATTCGTCAGGGAATAGTACCAACTGTGTGTGTCCTTTTACTTTCCATTTTCATAGGCAGGTCTTTGAGACTGAAATGGAAAAACCTCAGCTGATCCTATATTCCCAAACCAAAATATTACAGTTGGGGAAGACACATTTTTAGTGTCATTGCAACCTCTTTGCGTAACTGACATACAGATGTAAACATACATGTATTATAGACATAGGACATGTATAATGGGCATTCCTATCCTTCCTGATATGTATGACTGTTTTGCTACATTGCCTCTGCTTTTCATTTATCAGAAGGCAACTAAAATGTGCATATTTAGCTTTATGCTGTAAAGAATGAGCAGAATTGTAAGTTCAAATGAGTTGTATTTTGATAATGCAATGATTCTTCTAAATAAGGTGCGTGATTATCGAACATAGAAATGTTGAAGCAACTTTGCAACAAAAAATTATTAGTGGATGCACAAGGACTGTAACATTAACATTTTTATTTTGCTATTGCTTTTACAAGATGCAACACCATTTTGAATTTGAATACCAGACCAAAGTGGATGGTGAAATAATCCTTCATCTTTATGACAAAGGAGGAATTGAGCAAACAGTTTGCATGTTGGATGGGGTGTTTGCATTTATTTTGCTGGATACTGCCAATAAGAAAGTGTTCCTGGGCAGAGATACTTATGGAGTCAGGCCTTTGTTTAAAGCCATGACGGAAGATGGATTTTTGGCTGTGTGTTCAGAAGCTAAAGGTAATGATAGAATATGTCTGTAGGTGTTCATTATTACTCTGGTTTTGTGTTTTCCTCTTGATCATATTTGCAAATCCTGTGCTGGGCAGTCCAGAAGTTTTCGAGTGACTGTTTCTCAATGCTTTTTGAATAGCCTGTCAAAAACTCATCAGTTGATGGTCCTCCCTGCTTGAAACTTTTTAATTAATCCTCATCCCCCATAGGGGTTATGTGGCTCTCTTGAGGTCCGCTTGCTAGGCAGGAATCTGGGTCCGATCTGATCTTTGAATTCAGTCTGACACAGAAGATGACTGGGCTGACAACTCAAATTGTGACTCGTAATGAGCATTTAGATAGGCTGTTCCCATTTACAATAAAACACTGGTTTTTAATCAGAGATCATGGTGATGCCAGGTTGTTTACTCCCTGTGAAAACTTTTGAAGAAATTTAGATTATACTGTTTAACACACAGTATATAATAACTAGTTCTGCCATTACCTCCTAGTGGATCATTTTGCTTGTTCAAGGACCAGAAATCATGGCTGTTTCCTTAACATACCTCAGTGATGACAAAGAAAGGACTGCCAGGGGATCATAACAGTAGCAATTTCAAGTCCATCTTCTTGCTTAATGTGTCTTTTCTTATAGAAAATAGATTTTCTTGATCTGAAATTCCAGCCAGGGAGAAGAAATTGAATGTTGGGGATCTTCTTATTACTTTGAACTACTAGAAATCAGTGTAACCTTAGGGTACATCTCTACCACTGTTCTCTCTCTAGTAAGTAGGTGGTAGCATTTGGGTTCATTCTTCCCTATTTTGCTTATATAATGGACATGTGTTTATATCAAAAAGGGGGAATAAACAGGAATTGAGAGGATAGTAAGTAATGGTGAATTGTATCTTGAGTAAAATTATCGTTTTGAATTTGTAGGTCTTGTTAACTTGAAGCACTCCACAACTCCTTTTTTAAAAGTGGAGCCTTTTCTCCCAGGACACTATGAAGTTTTGGATTTAAAGCCGAATGGCAAAGTTGCATCAGTGGAAATGGTCAAATATCATCACTGTAGAGATGAGCCCCTGCATGCGCTCTATGACAATGTGGAGAAACTCTTCCCAGGTAACAAAGCGAACGCCCACCCGCCTGTTCCCCGCCTGTCTCTCCCAAAGGGAAAAAAAAGTGCTACTTTCTTGTCATTGGAATGGTTCAAATCAGAAGAGCTCTTTCCTATTTAATTTGGAGGTGCCACACGGGGATTTGGCAAATTCCACCCTGGAGCAGGTGTCATCATGATTGATAGATGATTGTCTGCCTTGTTTCAGTAAATAATTCAGCCCAAGATTTTCTGGAACTGTTGATTTGCTTTACGTGTTTATAGGTTTTGAGCTAGAAACTGTGAAGAACAACCTCCGGATCCTTTTTGACAACGCCATAAAGAAACGCTTAATGACAGACAGAAGGATTGGCTGCCTTTTATCAGGTGAAGTCTATTAAAAAGCCCAATTATATTTAGCACATATTTAAGTAAATGATTTGTAGCTATCCCTGAGATTTTGACTATAAAATATTTATGATTTAATTTTCCCTCCATTATAGGACAAAAATGTTTTCTGTAAGCTGCATTTAATATTCATGGCAATAGAGCAGCTTCAGGTTACATTCTAATTATTGGTATGAGTGAGCTAATAAACATTTTTTAGAATTGTGTATGGTGACTTTTGACCAATTCAAGTACTGTAATAATTATGTCAGGTTATGTGTTAGATTTTTCATAATGTTGATTTTCGGTTTATAAAACTTGGGGATTTAAAATTTTTTTTTTTTAATTTTGTTTAAGAGATAGCGTGTGCAAGTGGGGGAGGGGCAGAGAGAGGGGTAGAGAGAGAATCCCAAGCAGCCTCCATGCTGTCAAGCACAGAGCCCAAAGCACAGGCTCACTCTCACAACTCGCGAGATCATGACCTGAGCCGAAATCAGGAGTTGGACGCGTAACTGCCTAAGCCACCCAGGCGCCCCTAAAAGTTGGGGATTTTAAATAGCAAAACTCTAATCTTGGTGCTTAATGGGACTGTAAATCATATCTGTTTCTCGTAAGCATGGCGTATAGCCAGTGTACTTCCCGTCTTGCTCATAGGGGGCTTAGATTCCAGTTTGGTTGCTGCCACCCTGTTGAAGCAGCTAAAAGAGGCTCAAGTACAGTACCCTCTCCAGACATTTGCGATTGGCATGGAAGACAGTACTGATTTACTCGCTGCTAGAAAGGTAAGACACCGTCCTGCCCATTATGTAATTGGGACAGACATAAGGATAAAAATCTAGCCACTAATTAATGATTCTGTACTTACGCTGTATTGACTCAGGTAATTGTTTTAAGTTAAATGTATTAAAATAAAATGAAATGCATTGTTGAGTATCAAGTGTGTCATACACTGTCCTCTGGGTACTTCTACTAAGGCTCATGCAATCCTCATAAAAACCCTGTGATAATAATTCTGTCGTTTTGAAAGTAATGGTACAGTGGTTGTGACTGCATGCTTTGGAGCAGACTGCTGGTCTCAAATCCTACCTCCAACATACGATTCCTCACTTATGTAATGGGAATGACAGTATCTACTATGGGATAATGTCACGGTGAAAATGATAGAATTCATGAAGTGCATAGGATAGAGCATAACCTGTAGTAAGTACTTTGTAAATGTTAGCTGTTTTCATTTCTTATAAAGCACCGTGTTTAGGATTATGGGCAGAGAGGACCTTGTACATACACATTCCGTGTTTGGGAGACTTTGTTCCTACTCTGGCAGAATTTACAGGGAATGGATGAGTGCAGTGTCAAAGCAAGTTGATCAAGGCTAAAAGAATCCAAAACAGCCACAGAAAAAAGAATGAGGGGAAGGCATTTCCCTTAGGAATAACATCCTGAATGTAACATAAACCATCGATGGAGGGCCAATAGGGGGCCGAGGTTAGAGTGGGGCCATGTTGGACTAGAGAGGGAGGAAGTGGGTAAGGTAACTTAAGTGGGGGGTGGGGGGGACACAACTCACTGGAAGCCTGTGGACAGTTAGGTTGAAGTCTTCGAGTGGGAAGAGCTGATGGGCTGTCTACCTCTTGGTCAAGTCAGGGCAGAGACTGGGGGAGGCCAGGAAACCTAACTGGGCTGTGTATGTGGTGACTAGAGAATCATTTCCTCATATTTTGCCTGATTTGTTTTTCACTATTCTTAACTTATAACGTGTTGTGACATGACAGTATTCATGTTTCATTTTCAAGGGCAGTGCTTATAACAAGTATATGGATATTTCTTAAATAATCAGGTGGCAAATCACATTGGAAGTGAACACCATGAAGTCCTCTTTAATTCTGAGGAAGGCATTCAGGTCCTGGATGAAGTCATATTTTCCTTGGAAACTTATGATATTACAACAGTACGTGCTTCAGTAGGTAAGGTATTTTACAGTATCTAAAAGATTTTTTTTTAATTTTTTTTAATGTTTATTTATTTTAAGAGAGATAGAGAGAGACTGAGTGCAAGCGAGGGAGGGGCAGAGAGAGGGGGAGACACAGAATCCAAAGCAGGCTCCAGGCTCCAAGCTGTCAGCACAGAGCCCGACGCGGGGCTCGAACTCATGAGCCGTAAGATCGTGACCTGAGCCGAAGTCGGATGCTCAACCGACCGAGCCACCCAGGCACCCCTCTAAAAGATTTTTAATCCTGAAAAGAGTATAAGGTATAAAAGATTATTTCGAACAACAGTTTAAAAAACAATACTTAAGAATGAATGCAAATAAAATTCTTAGGTCAGCACTATTTTAAGACCAGACCATTTAAGAATTCCCCCAATCTTTTTTTTTTATTTTTTAATGTTTATTCATTTTTTGAGAGACAAACACAGAGTGTGAGCAGGGGAGGGGCAGAGAGAGGAGGAGACACAGAATCCGAAGCAGGCTCCAGGCCCTGAGCTGTCAGCACAAAGCCCAACGCGGGGCTCGAACTCACAAACTGTGAGGTCATGACCAGAGCCGATGTTGGACATTTAACTGACTGAGCCACCCAGGCACCCCTCCCCAAATCTCTTTTGGAGTGAGAGGAAATAAACACATAAACTCCCCCATTTATGGTGTCCCTACAGACAGTCCTTTACTTACCATGGTTTGACCTGAACAATTTTTGACTTTATGAGGGTGTGAAAGCAATACACATTCAGCAGAACCCTTACTTTGACTTTTGAATTTGGATCTTTTCCTGGGCTAACGCCATGCAAAGGATTCTCTCTTTCTCTCTCTCTGTCTCTGTCTGTCTGTCTGTCTCTCTCTCTCTCTCTCTCTCTCTCTCTCTCGATACTGGGCAGTTGAGCTGCAGTTCCCAGTCAGCCAAGTGATCACAAGGTTGAACAACTGAAACACTTATAACCATTCTGTACCCACACCCATTCTGGTTTTCACTCTTAGTACAGGGTCAGTAAATTACATAAGATGCTCAGTGCACCATTCATTACCAAGTAGGCTTTGTGGTCTGTGATCCTGCCCAACAGTAGGCTAATGTCAGTGTTCTGAGTACATTTGGGGTAGGCTAGGCTAAGCTATGATGTTCAGTAGGTTAGGTGGATTTGATGATGTTTTCAACTTAAGTGGGTTTATCAGGGTGTAAGTCGAGGAAGATCTGTATTTATATTTCTCCAAAGAATAGATGCACATTTCTGCACTCCTCACTCCCCAATTTCTCTGCATATAGTTTCTTGGGCTGTGTTGTAACTAATTTATGTAAGGAATACTCATATATACTTTGGTAACTATTCTATCATATGACTTATCAATCAATAACTATTACTGCCCAGCAAGCAATGCTAGTTTTGTCATGTGGATATATGGCAAGATCAGAAGTATACTCCAGTGTCGTTGAGCCTCTAATGTGCTACTGGCTGAGATATGTCTCTCTTTTAAGAGACTCAGAATCTATCTGAGAAGACTCCATTGCAAAGTTTAGGGCATGAGAATATTACCACAGGGGTGATATTGCCCACAAGAGAACTAAATTGGTTCTTGGAGTGTAAAAAAGAATTTTCTGTATACAGTGGCCTGTGGGCTTCCAAAGGGCCACACTATATAAATAGATTTATAGTATATCCAGTACTCATATTTCATTGAGAAGGCAATTAGGAAAAAATGTCTAAAAAGTCTTCCTAGATTGGTGATCATGAAAAAAATGATAAAGAACAAATACTGGTTTACATAGATTTGCAGCCGGAACCAATGGCTCTCTTTTAGTAATTTACATAGTATTCTTAACCACCTTTGAAATTTGGTGTTAGGAAAGAAAAGCCTGAACTACCAAAACTCCCAACTTTTATTATTTTTGTATGATAATATTGGTATGAAAGTTATGAATTTGTTTTAGATATTTGTCATTGTTCAGTTTGTCAGAGTTCTAAGGTGGATATTCTTGGTCTAAAAGCATTACAATTTTAAAACCTGTATATAAAATTGTGGAATAAGGGGCACAGTGGCTGTGGCTCAGTCGGTTGAGCATCTGACTTTGGCTTAGGTCATGATCTTTTGATTCTTGGGTGTGAGCCCTGCATTGGGCTCTGTGCTGACAGCTCGGAACCTGGAGCCTGTTTCAGATTCTGTGTCTCCCTCTCTCTCTCTGCCCATCTCAAAAATAAATAAACATTAAAATTTTTTTAATAAATAGGTAAAATTGTGGAATGATTTTGGGCTGTTTCATTGCAACCGTACAACTTCTGGGTAAAGTATATAAAAATTAGCTTATAGATAAAAGGTCATTATTTTGGAAACTACATTATTAATATAGAGTTCAAGTCTAAGTAAAACATCATTGTTTCCAAAAGCTAAATACGAGACATTTTTGGTGGCCAGTTATGTTGACATCAACAATTTCTGTCTGTCTACTAAGGTATGTACTTAGTCTCCAAGTATATTCGGAAGAACACAGATAGTGTGGTGATCTTCTCTGGAGAAGGTTCAGATGAGCTTACGCAAGGTTACATATATTTTCACAAGGTAAGTTTTCTGACATGGAGGGATATTGGTGCTGGGTGAAGAAAAGTGGTTTGCTCTCGTCTGTCTTAACGCTTGAGTATCTTGTGACGTATGTGAGGAAAACTGATAGTGTCTGCTTTGTATTTCTTTGGGGGGGGGGGGGGGAAAAAGTCCTAATGTGAGATAATCTCCATTTTTCAGAACTGGTGAAGCAGGAGAATCGGGAGTCTGACTTTTCTGAATCCCCTGTGGCAGTCTGGTTACTGCCCTGGGCGTCCATTTTATCGCCTGACAGCTACCTGTTTGGTGTGCAGGAAGGCCTATTTTAGCAAGTAGGGACCCCCCTTCCCCAAACTTTGTTTAGCTTTCTGTCTTACTCCCACTAGAGCTGGAATATGGGAAAGAGAAATGAACACTGTTCTGTGTGCACAAGCAAAGCTGTTGGTGTATTTGTAACTCCACCTGTTTATAAAACAGGCTCCTTCTCCTGAAAAAGCCGAGGAGGAGAGCGAGAGGCTTCTGAAGGAACTCTACTTGTTCGACGTTCTCCGGGCAGATCGCACTACTGCTGCCCACGGGTAACTCGGTAGTTTGAGAAGCAATCGTTAAGACAGCCTCAAAAATCAAAAAGCTCAATGGCCAATTACTTTTTTCAGTTGATTATACGTTTGTGCAAAGTATGACTTTTTGTTTTTTGAAAGAGAGCATGAGTTTACATGCACACGTGAGCAGGGGAGGGGGAGAAAGAGAATCTTAAGCAGGCTCCACGGCCAGCACGGAGCCCAACTTGGGGCTCGATCTCACAGCCGTGAGATCATGACCTGAGCCGAAATCAAGAGTCAGACACTTAACCCCCTGGGTCACCCAGGTGCCCCACAAAGTACGACTTCGATAGAGAAAACGAAGCTTGTCTCAAAGCACTGTTTTGGCATTGGTGAGGAGACTGTAGGTTGTTTTAGATGGACTTCGTCTTTAAAGCACAGCCACACTCTGCTACCATCAGAACCAAAAGGGAAAGGCAGGTGCTGCTCTTTTTAAGACTTTTTAAGAGAAGTTAAAGTTGACACAGCCCCTGTAACAAGTGTTGAGTGCCTACCACACCTGTTTGATACTGTGGTGACCCTGCTCGGGCACAGGGCAATGAAGAGCCGGGAGGGTTGATTAGATTATAAACAGGTTTCTCTATTTCTGGTTGCCCGAAGTTTTCACTTTTTAGCTAGTCATGTTGGAGAATTCAGATCTCTTACTGTAGGTGATAAACTACGTTAAATATTTTAGTTGCTTCTACGAAATCACACTTAGATTAGAAAATAGTCAGATACGGTGTGGGGAAGGAACTGAATCCATCGTTATTATCCATTTGCCTTAACCAGAGTCACCAGGATTCAGGAAACACGACGTGGCCTTTGATGAAACACTGAGGAACAGGGGTATATACTGCATGTTGTATGTAAATCATTTAGTAGTAAACAATTCTGAATTCTTTAGTTTTCCATAGGACAAGAGATGGCCTCACCAAGAAAAAACTTTGAGTCAGAAAGGTATAGGAAAAGTACGTTCTTAATGATCAGATCACTCATGTTTCTTACCATTTTCTGCTCTTTGAGATGTGCATTTAATTGTTTACAGAAGGGAAAGTAAAATTATTGTCCGTTTGTTTCACTCTCTAGATGAGGTAATACATCTTGTTGGGAATGAAGATTTTTGCTACTCATGCAGTAGTAAAGGACAGTCAGGAGGACCCTAAAAATGACTTTTAGTCTTAACATTACATAGAGGCTAGTTGAATTGCTAAGAAACTCTCCAGGAGAATCTAAAAGGACAGGCACTAAATATCCATTTTGATTTAGATTTTTCTTTTCCCCTTTAAGCCTTGAATTGCGCGTCCCTTTCCTGGATCATCGATTTTCTTCCTATTACTTGTCTCTGCCCCCAGATATGAGAACTCCCAAGGTAAGTGAATCGATGCACGATGGAAACTGTCTATTGCTATTAAATTTGGAATTTTTACTGCCATTCCTTTGTTTTCATGTCAGAATGGGATAGAAAAACATCTCCTGAGAGAGACATTTGAGGACTCCAATCTAATACCTAAAGACATTCTCTGGCGGCCAAAAGAAGCATTCAGTGATGGAATAACCTCGGTTAAGAATTCCTGGTTTAGGATTTTACAGGAATATGTTGAACATCAGGTATAAGGTCTCTAAAAATATTTTCTGGCATAGGACAATATGGATGTAGAATGGCAATCAATGTTCATTTTGTATTTCATTTAAATGTTTTGTGGCTGTAGGAGAAATTCCCTGTAAACTAAAGAGTTTTATAAGAATTTCCTAAGATATGGGGCACCTGGGTGGCTCAGTCAGTTAAGGATCTGACTCTTGGTTTCAGTGCAGGTCATGATCGCGTGGTTTGTGAGTTCAAGCCCCGAGTCAGGCTTTGTCCTGACGGTGCAGAACCTGCTTGGGATTCTGTCTTCTCTCTCTCTGCCTCTCCCCTGCTCATGTGCTCTGTCTCTCAAAATAAGCAAACAAACAAAAAAAGAATTTCATAAGATATAAGTAGCATGAAGGATTATATAGTAGCATCTAAAATTCAAAGAGCAAGAGAAGAGACTTACCAATCATCACTGACCTTCATTTAACATTTAACACCTGCCAGGTGCCAGAAATTATTAGTCATAGAACACTCAGAGCCACCGTGTATTAAAATTATTCGTAGAAATGTTCCTTGAAAGTTGCTGCAGCTGTGTCTATTATTGTATTTTAGCATTTTCTAAGTGATGGGTGATTCAAAGGGTCTCTTGCATAATTTACAGTCATTTTGTTGTTGGGAAGCCACATTAAATACAAGTGTTTCTATGCCATTTAACAAAGCCATTTTGAATTTATATTCTTAACAGGTTGATGATACAATGATGGCCACTGCAGCCCAAAAATTTCCCTTCAATACTCCTAAAACTAAGGAAGGCTATTACTACCGTCAAATCTTTGAACGCCACTACCCAGGCCGGGCAGACTGGCTGACCCATTACTGGATGCCCAAGTGGATCAATGCCACGGACCCTTCTGCCCGCACTCTGGCCCATTACAAGTCAGCCGCCAAAGCCTAGGCACCATCTGAGCTATCCAGTGAAAGGAAACATTCCTCCTGTGATGAGTAAGGGGCTTGGGGGCAGGAGGGGGAGCAGTGAGCATCAACCATTCTGGCTTGTTGGGCATGGAAAAAAATAAAAGTCTTGAATCTGACACAGTGCTATAGTCATTTATATTCATACAGCCCCTTCCTTAGAGGGAGCTAGAAACTGAGCAGCTTTTACTGTATCCCAGGAAGGTAGAGAGTGAGCTTAGGAAAGGAGGAAGCAGGAGTCCTTGCCTCCTCTTAGCGTGGCCTTTTCACAGCTTCCCTCTCTGTTCTTTCTGTATTCACAGCAGCTGGTGAGGCAGGCTCTGTGGTGCTGAGTCCGTCATGGACGTCCCTGACAGCTCTCTCTTGTAAGACAGTAATTCATATTTTCATTTTTCTGGTGGAGCCAACACCTCTTCTGGAACTACTGTTCTAGATCCGAGATCAGCAGATTGTTAGGGACAGTCAGTCAGTATCATAGGCCTTGCAGACCTCTGTTGGAACTGTGTAAAAGCAGCCGTAGCCAGTATGCGATCAAGTGGCCAGGGCTGTGCTCTACTCAGAGTTTATAGCAACGGGCTGGATTTGGCCAGTGGGCCGTAGTTTCTAGAGCCCTGTTCTACAGAAACAACTCAAGCCAAGCATTTCTGATAAAAGGAAAAAACATTCTGAACCCAAGAGGGAAAAGAGAAAGTAGAACAAGGAAGCAGTCAATGAACAAGTAAAAGATTCTTGTTTGAATGCATTGGTTGTGTAGGGACCACATTTTGAAATACCCTATAAAGATGAATGTAGTAGGAAGTTTTGAAGAGGAAACTGTTCCTGTGCAGGTCAACATATGAATGTTTGATGGGAAGAATGAGTGGGCTGGATTTCAGCCAGAAAGTTAGAAGATAGGGACTGTCTGAGGCTAGAGGCCCTCACTGAAAAATGTAAAATGTCTCTAGACAGCCGAGGAAATGCCGTGAGTTAATATTGGAAGATTCAATGATAATCCTGTATTTGTAGGTGCTTGAAGGGCCTCAACCTGGCATGGCTTGGTTCCAGGCAAACCTATTCATGGTATAGCCTCATCCAGCCACCCTAGGTGACACCGAGAAGGCACGAGAAACTAGGTGGTGGTGGTTGGGCAGCGTGCATGGCAGGATTATAAATCACAACTGTTAGTTTTTGAGGGTATGAGCTGTTTAACTTGAGTGACTATCAGAGCTGGCATACTCAGGTACCACTCAAGAGTTCAACAGTAGAGGTACACCGTGCAGCCAAGTTCATAGCCGTGAATTCAGTCCTGCAGGTCAACCCTAACTACAGCAACTTGGTAAATGGCAAGCAGCACATGAGATCTATCAGACGTTCTTGGCACATGGTATAAAATTAACCTCTTCTTTTGCAACTGAAATTCTAGAAGTTTAAAGAAATGGTAGCCACTGAAGCATATACACACGTGACTCAACAGCTCCATACTGGCCAAGCCTGTTTTCCTGGCCTACTCTGATCTTGGTGACTCAGTGCTAAAGAGGCCTGTGGTTTCCAATCCACACAGCACTGCTAACAGATCATTCAGTCCCCCACCATAAACTAAAAGATTTTTAGCTGATGTTGTCCTGGCTTTTCATCCTCTTCCACGTACACCCTATGGGATGATACACCCCTTCAGAGGTTTATTTTACCTTGCCTTCAGACAGAACTAAAAAAGGAACCTTATAGTTTGGGACAGGATATGTTCCACAGAAAAAGAAAAATCAACCACCTAAATACTACCACTGCTTCAAATAGTTTTAACATTTTCTTGCAAGTATCTTGCTTTAAAGGCACAATTACACATATGCAACTGTTGATCTTGGTTAAATAGGCTGCAAAGTTTCTGGAACCCTTTACAAGGAAACTGTCAGAGAACCGTGAGCCTTCTGATGTCAGACTGTTGTGTGAATATCTTGTTGAGTGAGGCCATGGGGTCAACGCATGCCCCTCAATTCCTCCTGTCTTGGGGTTGCTGTAGTGTGGTCTGTAGTCTGAAATAACAGATCCTTGGGCTGGGTCCCCATGAGAGGGGAAAGCTGGCCACAGGAAGGCAGTTCCACATGGTTTTAAACCTGTACAGTGGATCAGACACTAACACCCAGCATTATGTACCGAATGTTCTAAGTACTTTGTTGCATTCACTCATTCAGTGGGTTTACCCTCACTCTGAGGAAGTATGGCAGATACTGTTTTCTAAAAATGGTCCCACGGACTCTTCCAGACCCTAGCTGCTACTCTGAAGAGGCAGTCTATTTCCCCTCTTCTTGTGTCTGGGCAGGATTTCAAGATTGCCTTGACAAGCTGAATCCAGTAGAAGTGACACTGTGACTTGCAGACGCTAGGTTGCAAAAGGTGATTCAGCTTGCGCTTCCTTTTCTCTCGATGCATGTGGTAAGGAAGCCCAGGTCGCAAGGAGAGGCCACATGTAAGAATTAGGGCTGACTTCTCCGGCAAAGGTCTCAGTCAACAGCCAGCATCCATCAACGGATGTGTGAATAAACTTCCAGACAGTTCCAGTGCCTACTTGGAGTCTTCAGCTGGGGCCCCAGTCACAGCCAGCATAGATAAACTGTCCCTGCTGTGCTATGTCTAAACTCCTGATTCAAAATTCCTTGAGTATAGTAAATGGACACCATTACCTTTTACGTGGTTTCTTACACAGGTACAGTAACTGGAACAGCTAAGCCCTATGACCCCTATCTTATACAGGTTAAATCAGTTGTTCAAGGTCATTCAGCTGAATTACTAAGAAGTAGAATTCCAAGTGACCTGACAGATTGGCTCCAGAGCCTTTGTGTCGTTCTTTCCTGACTATCCCTTCCCCTGTCAGCATGAAACTACAGGCCTGGTCTCTGCTGTAACTTGGACTAAGAGAAGGACCCCATGTCACCTTGAGTTAAGTTAGCTCCCAGGAGATCACAGCGATCCTAAGCATTTTCTAGAATGGGATCGGTGAGAGGACCAGGAGAAAATTCCAAATTTTTAGTGTATTACCACAACTGAAGCCATTTCTTGATCACACTGTATGTTCCTCTGGCTCTACAGAGCTCAGCTCATCATTGAAAAGGTTGTCATCACTCTGGGACCGAGGCTGATGAAAGCCTGATCCTGACACATGCTTCCGTGACCAGCAAGGCAGGGGATGGAGAAAATGGTCAACCATGTGCCAAAACTTAGAGCTTCCACCCTGACGCGACGTATTACTTTTTCTTCTATTTTATGGGCCAAAGCAAGTCATGTGACCACTCTTAACATGAAAGCTGCATGTACCAGAAAGGAAGATGAAATATGTAGAGAACAGTACCAATGACCCCTCAAATCCACCCTCCCGTCACCAAATATTCACCTCTCTCCCCTACGTACAAAATATACTCCTCCCCTTTTCAAGAGTGACAACCCCCCAATTCCACTTTGCCACGGCCATAAGCCCAGAGTTGAAGATTTCTGGGTGATGTACTGATACGGGAGTCTGTTTCAGGTGACACCTTTTGTGAACTGACAAGAAAAGTTATCTCCTCCCCACCTGTGCAATATATAATAGGGCAGGAGCAGAATGACAACAAAACACATACTGCTTTTCGAAAAGGATAGAATGAGAGGCATACAGCAAACTTTAATCGGTAGCAATTCGGACACCCTGCTCACCGGTTATTTTGAGGACCCTCACCTTGGGTGTGCAGCAGAAAATTGCCCCTCAGCAATCAGGCAAGAGTGAAAGAGCTGAGGAAATCAGTGCCTGAGCATGAAGTGAGAGATGGGGAATACCTTGAAGGGGGAGGGCTGATGTCGAGCAATAAAGCTAATATGACTCATGCCATCGTAATCATGGTCACCCAGAATATTGATCCCTCTTCCTGAGTCTGACCAATACTGCCCTAAAAGCTACAATCAATCTTGACAACATTCCTGTGAGGGCTGCACTATCGAGCTCATCCACATTTTATGGATGAGTAAAGTGATACACAGGTATTCTGTCATACACCCAAGTTCATATAACTAACAAGTAATCAAAGTGGGATACTAGATCCCAGGTTCCAGGGTTGTACTTAATCCCTTCTCTGTATTACCTTTCACAAGATTATAGAATTATTTGAATGGAAAAAATAATTCCAATGTTTTTCCGGTAATTCTGTATTTTTAGTGAGATTATATATTCATTTCGTAGCTACTTCTTACATTATTTAGCACATCTAATTTAAGCATGAGACAATTTTGTTAATTTTAAAAATGTTTAGGGGTGCCTCCGTGGCTCAGTGGGTTAAGCGTCTGACTCTTGATTTTGGCTCAGGTCATGATCTCATGCTCAACATGGAGCCTGCTTGGGATTCTCTCTCCTCTCTCTCTCTCTCTCTCTCTCTCTGCCCCTTGTGTGTTCGTTCTCTCTCTCTCTCTCGCTCTCTCTCTCTCTCTCTCTCCAAATATTTAAAAAATTTTAAGTGTTTAATGAACACATATAAGCACATATCATTTACATAATTTAGATTTTATGTGATTGAGAGCCTATAGGACTTAGATCTCATGTGAATTCTTACCTGATTTCAACCCTAGCTAGCCAGTACAAGGAGGCCCAGAAATTAGTTCATAGTCCCTTCTGCAACTTGGAGAATTTTTAATCTAGAAGAAAACTATACTTACACTGTTGGTATACTTTAGAAATTGGTTGTTGCAGTGTAAAATGTTTGTTTGATTTCTGAGGATGAATATAATCCATAAAACCACAAGGTGGCAGCCACAAGACACTAATTTTTCTCTCCAGGCAATTTGAACACATTTCTCCAGCTTAGTGGTGGGAACAGATTATTTTATGCCAAATTAGAGAATATGTTGCTTTCATGGAATAAATCCTAGCGGGGAAGCGCCACAGTTCTAATTAGTGAGCAGTTTTAATTGGCTAATAGCATATGACTGTTGTACAGGCCAGTATGAGTACCTGTATTTTCTTCTGAATCTTTCATATCCCTCCTTTGATCAATCATCCCTAAACACACTTGTAAAAAGTATGTCCTTAAAAGAAAAGATCTTTTATGCTCTGAAAGATAAGAGGGAATGTGGACAACCCCAAATCTGTTTTTATTTGCCTTTTGAATGCAATCAAATCCAC